TGGCATTTCCTGTGTCACCAGCAGTCCCACCAGGCCTCCCCAGCCCTGGCAGAGTACAGTTTTAGTGGTCATGCCCAGGACCTTGGGCTCCTCCTTCCCCATAGCCCCAGCCCATACATCCAAGTTCGTCCTGGCATGGAAGCTGAGCAGGGACATGTTCTTCCCCTGCTGGCTGGTGATACAGTGAGTGCCCTCACCACCTCTGAGAGTGGGGCATTAAATGGTTTTTAAAAAGTGAAAAAAGGAAATAGGTACAGACAGAGTGACATGGGTGGCATTCACTCTGTCTGCACCTGGAGCTTGGGGAACCCCAGCAGTGGGAGGTTCACCTTGAGGAACACCAGCTGCTCCACCAAACCAGGATCCAAGCAGGTGCAGTGGGGTGTGACTACATCCCCAGCAATGCTGAACACTGTCTCACTCAGAACACTGGCTGGTGGATAGGATAGGTGTTGCTGGGTAACTGGCCAGATCCGGCCACATCTGGCTGTGGCTTGCTCAGTAGGCCAAGGGGTTGCACAGCAGCAGCTCCATGTCCTTGGTGAGATAGGCAGCCACCAAAGCCTGAATGCTACCAGTCTGATGGTGGGGTCTGGTGCCTCTGGACCCCACCATGTCTTTGGCCCACACAGCTGGAAGGAAGGAAGCAACACATAGTTACCAGCTATTTTACCTGGCCTGAGCCCTTTTACCTCATGCCCCGCCACCAAGCTACCCCAGCTGGGGTATTGGCGGTCCAAGCTGAGCCTGCGAGGCTAGGGGTCTCCGTTCCACCCCCTTCCCCAGCTCCAGCTGGGCTTCTTGAGAGCAGTTTTGCCCAGCTGGAGCTAGAGGTAGGGGTGGAATGGAGCCCTCTCACCTCGCATGCTCAGCCTGGTTCCCCTCAATACCCCAGCCAGGGTATGGGGGGGGCAGCATGAGGCGGGGGGGCTCTGCTACACCCCGCCGCCACCTCCAGTTCAGGCGAGGCAAAGTAGCTAGCAGGTGGGTGCTGCTCCCTTCCCTCCCTCCCCTACTGACAGCCACAGAACTGATTGGGGCAGGGTTGGGGAGACAGGAGGATCAGCCGCATTGGTGTCTAGTGCCTCCCCTGACACCAGGCTGGGGGTGGTCCCTGGTGGCTGATCCCACTGGCCGGGGAAGGGGGTCCCCCGCGCCCGATCTCACTCACTGTAAAAATGGCCGTGCCACTTCTGGAACCCCTGTGCACGCCCTATGCATTGCTTCTATTCAGCAGCCTCCTCCAAGGCTGCTGGAGCACCCCTGCCTGCAGGCCAAGAGGGCTGGTGCAGGCAGGTTTGATCATCCCTACCCAGAAACATCTGTTGGGTCAGAGGTGGGGTTTTAACTCGTGGCGTTTTGTATAAAGTGCCATGAGTTAGAGCAGAGCCCCTAATGTCTGTGGGTATCCCCTGACTACTAGCCATACATAATATTTTCCCCATGCCCTTTTGCTTTCTTTATCAGTTTCCTAAAGTTCTTGACATATGATTTATATTAATTACTATTAGTTTTCTGTTTTTTCCATTGGAATGGCTTGTTCTCAGGGCCCTCAAGAATTGTTTTATCAGGTACTAATGATAAGAGGTAGCATTTTTTAGAAGTGAGCATAGTTCTAATGTCCTCATGTAATCAGGGCAGAGAGGATCAACACAACCAGCACCTTGTTTATTCTTCTAAAGAGACATATTCTTTCCCTATGAAATGTTGTCCTCTTGAGTGATGCAGAAATCAAAAGGACAAGTTGGGATCCTCTAACCCCAGGGTTCTCAAATTGTGGGTTGTGACCCCCTGAGGAGTCATGAGCGACTTAAAAGGAGGCCTCAAACTTCCCAGGAAGTACACGTGGGTGTGGGGAAGCAGCAAACAATAGCAGTGTGGAATGGTGGATGGTGGACGTGGTGGCTGCGTGTGAGCCCCCGTCGCCTGCTGCTGCCATCCAGCACTCGGGGTTGTGGTATCACAAAGTTCAAGAACCCCTGCTTTAACTACTATTAATCCATATTTTTTATCTCATATACTGTTTTTATTTGCACATGTCAAAACACTCCAGGTGGTCACTGTCAGTATCCCTGCTTTACAGATGGGGATAACTGAGATCCTGAGAAGCAAAGGAGTTTGCCCAGTGTCACACACAGCCAGGTGGACACAGAACTAGGAATAGAACGTAGATCTCCATAGATCTAGATTGTTAGTTTCCATACTTCCTTTTTAGGATGGAAGGATGGAATTATGCACATATCTGGGTGCCAGGTGATCCGTGCTCTATTTCTAATTCCTATCTGTCTCTCTGCGTGATGTTGGGCAAGTGATTTTCTTCTTTGACTCAGTTTCTTTGTCCGTAAAGGAGACAGCGCTCGGCTTTTAGTGCCAAAAAGAGGCAAGATGCTAGAAAATAGCAAATTATTGCTCATATTGTTAAATGAGAAGAGACAAGAGTGGGTTATCTAACTGTTTATCCATGGTGTACGTGTTTAAAAGGCGCTGGAAGATTGGGCGAAGTAGATGATGGCTGAGATCCTTAGGGCTCAGTTAGTCATTAGGAGAGAGGGTATTCCTGTAGAAACTAAAAAACTCATTCTGAAATTTGGGGGACTGGTGTCTGTTCTGGGCTTAGTGCTCTGATGTAGTTTGGTATACTGCTGCTTTGTCCCTTGCATATATATGCGTTTCTCACCCAGGTAATCCGCATAGTTAGGAGCAAAAGCCTAGTTTGACAGCCCAGGTCCTGTGATCTAGTCAAGCAGCGCTCAGTCACACTTCCAAAAAGGTGTTGCAGGAATAGTAGTATATGATCTTTCTGCCTCCTCAAACCTGGGGGGGGGAACATAAAATTCTCTGTTATATTACCAAAAGCAGAGTAACTGCGGTAATCTACTAACCTAGGATCATGGATGTGAAAGATATTCTAGTCTGGCCTTCTCTTTCTCACTTGCACTTGGTATTGGGATGAAGACAAGAGTGAGAGACTTGCAGCCATTTATGCTGGCTGCACACTACCCTGGGATTCACCACTGCAAATAGAAACATCCAGTTAATTAAGCCAAGTTTCCATTCTCTTTTGCTTTCCAGACTGGCAGATTTTCCAGACTTTTCTTTAACTGAAGGGCAGAGATGTGGGAATTTCCACAGAGATTTTTTTTCACATGTATTTGTCTAGTTTTAAATAGTTCTTAGCAACAAAAAAGTTTCAGGAAATATTTCAAGTCTCAAATTTCACTCTCCTTTTGTTTGTAATACTACAATCTTGCTAGTTTTCTGGTTGTCCATAGAATCCTCTAATAAGGCAAATGAAATGCTAGCCTCCCTCCCCATCTAAACCTAAACTAACCAAACTGAACAATTGTTTGAATTTTTCCATGTACCTCTTGAAGAAGTAAAGGAGTTATAAGCAGAATTTTATTTGCCCTTTGAAATTGTGCTTCAGTGAAGACATGGGAGCAGGTGTCTCCTTTGTGTTGTAAAATTGGTGTACGTAATTTGTTTTTAGCACATTTACACAAGTTGGCATTAGAGATCAGGGTTTGGTTCACAGTGCTATTAATTTGTATGATATAAAGCTTCTTTACTGAAGTGACACAGATAGAGAGTACTTAAGCTATGATGTAATCAGGAAATTCAAGCTTTAGAGTTGGCACCACTGAAGGAATAAAAATCTGCTATATTTTGCTCATAAAACTTTAGCAAATACATTTTATTCCCTTTTTCATGTGAATTAATATGTATATTAATTTTTGGAAAGGACTGTAAAAGTTCAGAGTACTAAAAATAGAATGACCATTGCAAAAATGGCTATTGTTTATGTGTCAATACTGCCCTCTACTGGGCTGAATGAGAACTACCTGACTGTGTCATGGCCCCAAAAGTTAACTGAATTTTTCCTGTAGCTCAAGTGATTTCCGCTTACTCTTTTGGAGCAAGATGAAAGGAGCTCTGTTCCTGATACCACTGTGAAGTTCATTGTGGCTTTTGTGAAAAACTAGTGACAGCTGTAAAGTCCTAGCTGGGTACACATTGCTTCTTAAAAAAAGGAGTTTGTTTATTTTAGATTTTTCCCAAGCCACCCCATTCTGTTTTCTTCCTTTTATATTTGCAGTAGATTTTCCAGACCTTACTGACACCATAAGCCAATATGTTTTTCCTGTTTCTTGACCCCTTTCTAGGATGAAGATTGGCCAAGATAATTGGCCCTGTGTAATTTGTACTTATAGCAGTAATTATCTACATCATCATCGTGGCTATTTCTGTTTGGGACAGATCCTGAGATCATGTTAATAAACTTTATTACTTTGTCCTTATTTCAACAAACTCCCGTTGACTTTCCTGGGAGAGTACTTACTTTGTGTATGTCTGTCTGGTCTGGGAAATAGGGTCCTCTTGTTCATTTAACTCCAAAAGACCCTCTTGGTGGAATGGCAGCCTCTGGAGCATCAGGACAAAAAATTGTACAGGGTTGTAACTGTTTTGTGTTGTACGTTTTCTTTGTAAGAGAAATACACTTTTTTTGGATCCAGGCTATAACCTACAACAACTTGTAAGTGAAATGCTAGAACTAACATATACTGTTTAAAGGAATTTATGGGGCTAACAATGAAACTGCAGTGGATTGCGTAGACTCACATTGGGGCTACACTGTCTTGGGTATTTTATATAAGGTCTGTACAAATGGACTGTCTACAGTACAAGATATTTGGTGGTGGACCATGCTGGGGAAGAGGGTCTGTTGGTAGGGTCAAGTGTACTCCCCAAACTCCCCAAAATGTTCACTGCCACCTGCCTGCCTACCTGATCTATGGTATTTATAAAGCACCAATTGCTGTCAGCTTCAGGCAGCATTCTAGCTCTGTCCTCCCCCTCTGTCACTATGTATGATTCTCCAGTGGTCTCACACATGTCTCAGAGTCTTTTTGCGGTATTACTTTCTCAAGTCTGGAAGGGTCTTGGGGGTGTTTTTATTGTATGCAGGGTTGATGTATGGTGTTTTTCCTTGTGTCTGACAGGTTGTTTATAAGAATAATGACATCCGTCTGGAACTGTCTCGCTTGGCAAGAATTGGTGACACCAAGATGAAGATCTACGGGGAGGTGAAGTTCACATGTGAGAATGTGGCCACTTTGGATCCCATCAGTTTTGAGACCCCTGAGGCGTATATCAGCCTGCCCAAGTGGAACACCAAGCGAATGGGCTCCATCTCCTTTGACTTTCGTACCACTGAGCCTAATGGACTAATCCTCTTTACCCACGGCAAGCCCCAGGAGAGGAAGGATGCCAGGAGCCAGAAGAATACCAAGGTAGACTTCTTTGCAGTGGAGCTCTTAGATGGGAACCTCTACTTGCTGCTTGACATGGGCTCTGGCACTATCAAGGTGAAGGCCACCCAGAAGAAAGCTAATGATGGAGAATGGTACCATGTGGATATCCAGCGAGATGGTAGATCAGGTAGGACAAAGTAATCTGAAATAGGTTCACCTTTTTGGCTTCTGATGGCATAGGGTGTAAACTTCTGGGTTTTAAGATTTCTTTGGGCCTGCTAGAAGAGAAACACTTTCTTGCCAGAACTCAGTGTTATTCAATATATTTTACCCAAGAGAATAAATCATTTTTGAAGAGCCAGGTATGAATGAGATGTTTAGTGTGAGCTGTGGAATAATCCAACAGAGAGGACAGAACTAGTTCATCAGCATCTTTCTTTTTAACCCTGTGTAACCTGAGCGATAGTCCAAGAGAAGGGATTGAAGGGATCAAAGCAGGTGCACAAGCACTGTGGGAGGTGTAGGGACTGTCCTCCCTCTATAGAGCAGAGCCAGACCACCACTGGGGACTTAACCATATACCTTTTAATGAGAGAACAATACTGGGAACATAACTAATATAAACCAGGGGGTATCGGGGACACTACAATGCCCTGAGGGGGCAGGATTCAACAAAGGCTAGACACTTACAATCATAGACATATTCATCCAGTTGACAAAAGACAGGGTTAACCAAAATATAAAACACAAACAGCAAAACAAAGAATACTAGTTGGTGAAATATAAAAGGCACAAAATACAAAATAACAAAGAATATAGGGGTACCCGAAGGGGGAAAACACAGCAACCCCTTTTGACTGCAACAAGGATTTCTCCCTGTTATTTCACTCAGCCTGGGTAGGACTTGAACTTGGGCTTCCTACATGGTAGGCAGAAGCTCTACCACATAGCCACCAGTGCTAATACTGTGCCAAGCTGCTAGAGGTCTTGACCTTCCAGGAGGCCCTGTCTCGCTTCCTGGCCTCTTATTAGAGGAGCTGGAAGCAGAGCTGGGAACCTCTCAGGTCGCTGCTCAGATTCTTGCTGGAGCTGGGGAACTTCTCCTGGTGGCTGCATCCTCTCATAGGGGATCCTGGAGCCTAGCGGAGAGGCGCTCCTGCTGGCTGCATGCCTTGCTGCTGGGGGTCCAACTGCTGCCTGCAGGTCCCACTCCTTCAGGTGCTTCTGGGGCAACTGTTTCCGCCCCGCTGACCCAGCTCTTTGCCGGCTCTTTGAGACTCCTTCCTTGTGGTCCCTCACTGGTCTTTCCTGAGTCAGCTGCGCTTCCCCTTTTATCCCCCTCCAGGTGACCCAAGGGGCCAATCAGGGGACATGGAGGGTGAGTCTCTGGGGCCTGATTGGTGAGGAAAAGGAATCCCAAGTCCTTCAATCATCTTTTACCCTTTCAAAACCCCTGGGCTAAGTCACTACCAGCTAGCCCGTCACACCTGTGTAATTTGTACTTATACATACCTGTACTTATATTACACCTGTGTAATTTGTACTACATCATCATAGTGGCTACTTCTGTTTGGGACAGATCCTGAGATCATCTTAATAAACTTTATTACTTTGTCCTTATTTCAACAAACTCCTGTTGACTTTCCTGGGAGAGTTGCCTGAAGAAACACTTAGTAAAAACCAAGTAAGAACTTCTAGATGTGGCTTAATACCCTCTAATGCATGTAGGCTAATGACCTGAACTAAGTGAGACTAGATAGCACAACTAATAGGTAGAAACTTTCAAATTAGTACAAAGTTGTGGAGAAATAAGAGGTGTTGACCTATCATCTTGGCCAATCTTTATCTTTTTCTTCAGATGGTTGCTCTTTACTCCTCACTTGGCTTGCTGTTTCCAAAATGTTTGTTAGTATGAAAATACTTGAATTCTTTGCCCATGTCCAGCTAACTCCTGCTGTCAATGCTGAAGTATCAAACAGGAGGCAAATTCAGGAGTTAGAGTCATGAAGTCAGGGTATAAAGGTGAAGTATCAGACAACAGTCCAGATCAGGAGTCATATGCACTGGCTCAAGGATAGGCAACATTAAGCAGGCTTTTTCTGCTTCCCTGAAAATTCCTTAAGTGGCTGAGTGTCTTGCTTTCTTTGTGGCATGGACTAATGGAAATTGAGGACAGAAGAGTGCTCAGGGATAGATGGGTAAGAATGAGGCATTCTACCCCTGGTAGAGGTGTGTCTTTCTAAATGGTGAGTCCTCATCCTCTATGTGATGAGCATGAAGCCTTCAAATTTCCTTGATGCTTTTCTTAATTTTAGAGTTGAATCTAGTTTTCTATGTTATTAGTAATAATCCCAAAACTATATATCTAGGCTGCAGAGGTATTTTGTTTGTTTCTGACATTATAAGTCAAGCTATCATACTTATTAGTGTGCTGTGATATAATATCTGGAAATGAAATTATATCTTTGATTTGATTTTTGTGAATAGGTGTAAAGTCATGGACCATCAAGCAGTGGATGTCTTGCTTTATGTTGCTATAGAGGGAATTTGTTTCCATGTTCAATGAGGCTTGGGATTTGAGCTGTGACCTCCACTAGGTTAATATAAAAGTCCTGGATATGTGTTTCTTGGGACTTCAGACAAGGTTTTCTCAATAGAGGAAATTCAGCATTGAAATGTGCTTCCCCTTGGTTTTCAAAAGACTGTTAAGGATCATTGCAATGCCAACCTTTGACCAAATTGATGGTTATTTCCATGATTCTTTGAGGAGTTCTTTGCATTAGATATAGGGGCCTTCTAGGTTTCAGTGTATGTGATTTTATAGTGTTAGCAGCCAAGCTATTGATAGAAGTGTTTTCAAAGTGAAGATATAAATAAATGAACAAACTTTTAATTTCTGTAGATTTGCTAGAATTTAATTAACTTACAAGGGGGAACTCTGTTAATAGCATTCGTTACTGCCTACTGTTTTGCTTGATCATATGGAGAATATATGATCCTTGCATAGGGATCAGGGTTACCAAATGTGCATAAATTTATGGACATCCCATAAATAACCAGGCTAAAAGCACCTATCCATAAATATTGTAAAAAAATGGCACCATCCGTGCAAAAAAAACAGCTTCACAAAATCAACTCCATAAAAACATGAAGCTGATTGAAGCTCTGTGGTTGGAAAAGTAGCTGAAGGCATCATTGAAGCACAGAAAGAGAACAGCAATACTACCTGATGTCTCACACAGTACCCTGAAGGCAGCTGTTTTCAGGGCTTTCTGACTCCTTCCCAGACCCTAACCCATGTGCTGCTGCTGCTTCCCATCTACAGTAATACTGCTGTGAGGGAGGTAGACAGACAGTGGTCCTTTTTGGGGGGGACCATGCTGGGATGAGAGGAGAGGGGCTGGCAGGTATAAGGCTGGAGGATAGGTTGCAGGAGCAGCATGGTACAAGGTGCAGTTGTGAGTATTGGGGCCTTGAGGAGAGTAGGGGACCCCTGGAATGGATACAGTATGGTGTAAAACCATTGTTGCAGTAAAATAGGGCTGCCAAACCAAGAACATTTTTCACTGATAATCTGAAAACTTTTTACTGACAACTGAAGTTTTTCACTTTAGTTTGAACCCACACCTTATTCAGGGCCTGGCAGAAGGCTTACATTTACATTATATAAAACATATCTCAGTAAAAAACATCTACCAGTAAAAAAAAATTGTTCGTGATTGAAAAGTTTGCAGATTATCAGTAAAAAAAAGTGTTTTGGGTTGGTAACCCTGACATGGAATTCCAGAGTCAGAAGGAAAAGAAGTGAAGCCAAAGCTGTAACTGAAATGGCTTCTAAAAGCCTAACCAAAGAGGGAACACGTTTCAATGAATAATGATGACTGTGATTGACAACATTACCCCTGGGAGGAGTCTGTCTTCTCATGGAGGCAGGTTGCAGGAATAACCTGTTTCAGGTTGCACAGCAGGAAGGTTTATTGATTGCCTGAAACCTGATCAGAGAAAACAGACTTCAAATTAAATGTGCTCTGTTGAACAAGAGTGAACAGATTTGTTCTTTTTAAAAAAAGAAAACTTGCATTTTGTGCTGGTGAAAAGTGCTGGATTGACAGTCCTAGTGACTGATGTCCTTTGTCTCTTCAAATAAGGGGGGCACCAGCATTGAGAGCTACCCCACATCACATTAGTATGTACCAAATACTGAGACCAAAGGGATGGGAAGAGAGTTTGGCTTGTGCAGTTTTCCTGTTTTTGACTTTTTTCTGTAGATTGCCAAGCAAGGAAACCAGCTATTTCCAGTCCCTTTGTGCTGTGGATTGGTTATTTAAAAACAACAGATTCATTTCACATAAGCCATAGAGTTTTGTAACTGGGCCAGTGATCAAGGGCTTCTGTTTCTCATTCCAAACCCTACCCAGTCCTGTCTTCCAGTTCTCTCAAGCAATCTACAGCTCTGGGCTCTGCTGAGCTGAGCAGAATATCCTGTAAAAGTTCAACTTCTCCGATCTAGCAGGTACTAAAAGCAGGAGAGTGGTTCCTGAGGAAACAGGACAGTCATCCTGCCCAAATATCCTCTGGCATGGCTCAACCCCTTTGGCTTTGTGTGTACTTCAGTCTGTTGTGGATGCCCATGCAACAAAAGCTATGTATTCTCCATGCACTGACATCTTATACTTGGATCTCTAACATCTGCTCCTGTATCCCATAACCTTTATGTCCCCAAGGCAGTCTCCTACTACTAGCATCCATGAAACCTGTCACTGTTTTCAGCTGGGGAATATTGAACATCATTATACAAGGGAATATTCTCAGCCAGTTGTGGTCCATGAAACACATTCTCTCACCCCTGCTGACACTGAAGGCCTTACCGGCAGGTTCACTGTCCAGCTGCATCAGTGTGCTGTTTCACTGGTCATTGACTTCTTAGCCCCTCCCAGTCTGTTTCCCTGGTCCCCTGTGGGATGAGACCCCTGAGGGATGAGAAGACACAGGATTCTGGTGCTTCTGAGTCTCAGGATGAATTTGTTCTGTCTTTACAGAATCATAGATGTCAGAAATAGAAAAGACCCACCAGCTTCTCCAGTCACTTGTTCCTGGGGCCAGTGCAGGATTGTCCCTGGAGTGCCTGGGACAGTTTGGTTCCATGTGATAGGGCTTCTAGCACTTCCATGTGGAGACTTCCACAGCATAACACACCTCACTGTCATGAAGTTTGGCTTGATGGCCAGCCTTGATAACTCCTCTCCTGATTTCATCCCATCCCTTGCAGTTTTGCACTCCAAGCCCCCAGCCGTCACCCCAACTCCTAGTATTTCCTCTCCTTCCGCTGGGTTTCACCCTTTTGATTTTTGCAGATTGTGATTGTCTCTTCTAAGTGTCTGATTGGCCAGATTATAGAAGTTAAAATCTGGTCATTTCCTCTTTCCCCAGAAGTTGCCCCCTACAGAGCCCTGCATATCTCTGTTGTCTTTCTTTAGAGTGCCTCCATCTTTATGGGAGTATGTTCCCCATAACCTGATGTAAGATTCCAGCAGAGCAGGATGGAGAATGACTGTCATCTCACAGATCTGCGCTGGGCTGCCTTTGTGCACAGACCCGTATTGTATCACATCTTCTCTCTGCTCGCCATTTAAAGGGAAAAATGTCTGCGGTGCTGTAGCTTTCTTGCACAAAATGGCTCATCAAATGGTTCTTGTTCTCTTTGAGCTTTTAATTTGTAACGCCACTATTGCCTCAAACACTCTGCTGCCTCTGACATTATTCTGTAGTTATACAGAACATCACACACATGAAATACTCTGCTTGTGTGCCATATGTGCTGTTCTCTGTGCAAGAAGCATATTACAGCTTAAGGAAAGGAAAAGCGTATGTACGTGACTGCGCTTTCTCATAGATCCACTGAATAGAGCAAACTCTATTAACTGAACTCCCCCACCCCATTCTAGGGGTATAAGATAAAAGAACGCAGTGATCTGGAATTAATCTTGAGGCACAGGCAGTCCTCTCCAGGGACACAGAGTATCATAATGACAGGACAATCAAATGTGATGATTTATAGCTAGATGGGAGAAAGTTGCTGATTCTTTGCCCAGTGTCTATTGAGCAGATGTCCCTGTTACAGAAAGGACTGAACAAAGAGCAGAATGGTCTAGTGATAGGTGCACAGTAGCAGGACATGAGAGACCTGGGTTCTTCTCCCTCCTCTGTCTTAGACCAGGGGTAGTCACAAAGCTTTCTTGTGCCTCTGTTTCCCCCTTTCATTCTTTGATTGTTCAGACTTCAAGCTTTTCATGACAGATATTGTCTCTGGTTATATACACACACACAGCGCCCAGCACAGGGGACCATTATTTTCCTGGGAGCATCTACAGTTTATTGTAACAGATCTACTACACTTCTTAATGATAAGAACTCTGCTTCTCAGGAGTTCAGCTTTACTTTCTGGACCTCAGTTTGTGCATCTGTAAAAGGAAGGATGAAGTTGCTTACCTTTCTTTGTGAAACATTTTGTGATGAGTGGTGAAGCATGCTCTGTAAAGGTGACATGATATTGTTACTATTGTTTGTTTTGCTCCTGAACATTTCTGGTGCCTTTTAATTCCATTATTTATTTATTTAATTTTTTTGTGATTCCATGTCCTAAGAAGTGAAACCCATTAACCAACACAAAGCTTCTGATTTGTTTTAATTTGTTTTGTTTTTTTTAATATGAGAAATAACTTCCTTTCCTAGGATATAGGACATGAACTAAGAATTGTGTTACAATTTATACTATCCTGATTGTGATGCTCTAGTGCTGGGTGCTGAACAAACCTGTATGAACCTACAGTCTGGGTCCCGAGGAGCTTACAAAGGTTGGGAAGGGGGAAATAAGGACAAACAGGGATATGTTTCTCCTGGGGATTTTTAATTTTTTTGGACTGAATTCATCATGTATGCAAATACTGTAGAAACTGACCCAGCCCTGAGCTGTAAAGTGATGCTTTTGGCTAACATTTCATTTTTTTCCTTCACCAGGTACTATATCAGTGAACAGCCGGCGCACTCCATTCACTGCCAGTGGGGAGAGTGAAATCTTAGATCTGGAAGGGGACATGTACTTGGGCGGCCTGCCTGAGAATCGGGCAGGCCTCATCCTTCCCACAGAGCTGTGGACGGCCATGCTGAACTATGGCTATGTAGGCTGCATCCGGGACCTGTTCATTGATGGACGGAGCAAGAACATCCGACAGCTGGCAGAGGCACAGAATGCTGCAGGGGTCAAGTCCTCCTGCTCCCGCCTCAGCACCAAGCAGTGTGACAGTTACCCATGCAAGAACAATGCTGTTTGCAAGGATGGTTGGAACCGCTTCATCTGTGACTGCACTGGCACCGGTTACTGGGGTAGAACATGTGAGCGAGGTAAGTCAAGTCTGCTTTGCATTGTGCTGACTGAGTTGAGGTTATGGAGGAGCTGCTGCTTTTGTGCAGTCCATAGAGTTATTCTGATGCTGTTCTTGAAGCCCAGGGAATCTCCTCTTCACTCTGGTGGTTCCCTGAGATCTCTGGATTGTTCCACATTCTACAGGTCTTGGCATCTCTGAATTCAAGGGAAAATCCACCCCCTTCACTATTCCTACACTGAATACCAGGGAACCTTGCTTCTTCTAGGATGGGTTTCCCCAGCTAATCTTCTCTCTGTCTCAGTTGATGACCTTTTTGGATCTGGTGGATCCCTCCTCCCTTCTGATATCTCTCTTCCTCAGTTCCAGGGTTTCTCCTTCTGTGAGTTCTGATTTTAGTCTGTTGCAGTGGGAAATGCCGCTGTGTGCGATGAACTCTAGGTAGCTTACTGATAGCAGTCCCAAATGCAGGCTGGAGTCAGGCTGATTCTTCGCACTTTAGCACACTCAGGGGGAGCATATATTTTATTCCTTCCCTGTCTCATTCTGAGAGCTGAGTTTCTGGGAAAAAAGAGCCAGTAGAGTAGTACAAGGGACAAGGTGCCTCTGAGCTCACCTTTGCCAAAGGCAAATCTGTAGGAGATGGTACGAGATTTCTCAAGTACAGTGAATGTCACTGCACCTTATTTTCATTGCCACTAGTTCTGACTGGTCATTTAAAGGCATCTGATTGAGGGTATATGAAGCACAATTATTGCTGGTGGAGGCAGCCAAGATGCATTCATTCTATGCCAAATGAGAAGGAGCTTAGCAAATGCAAGACACTTGATCTATACTCTTTTCAAATCCCAGACGGTTACATTAATTGTTTTTGCCCTGCGTTGTACCAGAGCCGGGCTCAGAATGGACCATCTGAGTGTAAAAAATAAAAGTGGCACTAGGCCCACTTAGCAAAGAAAATGGAACTTCCCCTTTGTATTGTTTCCTTTTATTGAGACCAGTTTCTCAGTAACACTTGGCTGTTAGGACAGGAGTCTGGCTGGAATGCACTTACTAAGAGACCAGTGGGGATTGTTGGCAGAATCCTGGGGCTTTCAAACCATTTGCTTTCCCTCTTCCCCCTGCCCCACACTTTGTAACATAGTCAGGTGTCAGAGCACATGGCTGGGACTCAGAAATCTTGAATTCTGCCCTTAGCTCTGTCACAGGATGTCCTGTGTGACCTTGTGTCTCCTCCACATTGTGCCTCTGTTTCTGTCTCGTCACTGGAGATCATACTAAGCCACCTGCAAAGGAGAGTGTGAAGGTGAATTAGGTATGGTGTATAAAGTGCAACAGAGCCCTGGAACTTCATCTGCTCTGCAGGAGAGGAGGAGATCTCCTCCTCCTCAAATTAACTGTTAGTCAGCAGGGTTCACCTTGCAGGGCAGATGGGATTTTTATGCTTTAGAAGAGCAAGATATATTCTTATTGGTAAAACTTTCCATGGTCAGCACTGCAAGGTTTGCTTCTCTAGGCAGCTACTGCTCTTGCTCCCAGTGCCATGAGAGTATCTTAGAGGGGACGATATCTAAACGTCACCTTTGGTCCTAGGAAGTGAGGGGCAACTGGGCTAGAACAGCCCATAAAAATTGTGGTCAAAATCAGTGAAGAGACACAATCAATTTCAGGACCTGAAATATAAGGATCCCCCTGGACAATCCTACTAGTGAACACCCAAGAGCAATGCACTACCATCGTGGCTCAAGAACTCAGGTGACACAACATTGATGTTGCTGCACTAAGTGAGACCCAGCAAGCAGAAGGGCAACTCAAAGAACATGGAAGCAGCTATACCTTCTCTGAAAGGGTGAATGGAAAGGAGAATGCCAGCTTCATGGAGTTGGTTTTGCCATCAAGGATGAATTCATAAATCAACTCAAAGAGTTCCCTATCAGAATTATTAAGCACCTCATGACTGTCTCCTTAAACTGATAGGGAACCAGTATGACACTGTCATCAGTGTGTATGTGCCAACTCTTGGTGCTGCCTGTTAAACTAAGGATAAAGTCTAATGCCAAACTTGACCAAGTCCTTTCTGATGGAGGATGGGAGTCACCTCCAAGAAGGATTATTCTGCACTGGTCCGGTCCTGCAGGGAGCATACCAGGAAAGCCAAGGCTGCAACTGAACTCCAACTAGCTTCGAGCAACAAGGACAATAAAAAGTCCTTTTTCAGATATGTGGGGAGCCGGAGGAAAAGCAGGGGCAACATTGGACCCCTGCTGACCAGATGGGGCAACTGACAACTGACGCCCAGGAAAAAGC